GAAATAAGGGCGGAACACATCTTTTGAAAATGTTTAAAAAACTAAGTATCTGGGAACAACAATAACAAATAGAAATGAGGTATATAATGAAATGAAGAGTAGAATACATTCAGGGAATGCTTGTTTTACTAAATTCAAAACTGTTACCATCACGTTTACTATCCAAAACAGTAAAGATAAGGAAATATAAAATAATAATGTTGCCTGCTGTCATGTATGGATGGGAGACATGGTTTGTAACCTAGAAAGAAGAAGTAGATTATACGTGTTTGAAAACAAGGTGCTCAGTAAGGTATTTGCACGTTGGAGAGATGAAATAAGTGGGGAATTTATAATATTACATAGGTGCTGCGTGTATTGCGCAGGTCACCTAACAAAGTGAGGATAGCGAAATTGAGGAGGCTCCAATGGGCTGGAAAATGTAGTAGGCATGCCGAAAGCCAAGAGATGCATACAAAATTCTGGATAACGACCACTGGGAAGACCAAGAAGGAGGTGAGAGGATAATATCAAGATGGATCTTAGAAAGGTGGGCTGTAAGGATGGCAAACTTTTGTAGTTGGCTCAGGATCGTGGGCGGTGGCGGTCTTTGGTTTTGTCTGTGTTGAATTGAAAAGTGTTTGTAGTCTGCTTTTCAGCATATTATTATTGATTACTTATTCAAGCCAATCTTCAGAAGAGAAGCATGAATACCAATCTTTTATTCCTAATATTTATTCATTTTTATATATACAAAAAATGGATTACACGAACCTGATGGAAGACTGAAATTATTATGCAAACCCACTAGTTTCTAAATTCTACATCAGAGAATTATATTAAGCTGTAATTAAAGGTAAATAAATGTTAGACATAATAATTCCAAAGCCAACACTAACTGATCAAGAGCGTAAACATGTGGAAGTAATACACGAAGTGGGAGTGGGACTATTTTGTCAAACATTAATGTAGGCCTATATATTTTTTGCCTGCTTTGTGTTCAGAGTGTGACAATTTGTTCTGTGTTCGATCCCGGACAGACTAACCGAAATGAGCATAGATTGGACTTTTGGGCATTAAACCGGTTTATATGCAAAAGAGTTAGGTTCTGCATTTGGTAATACCTTTCTAAATCAAAATTTATAATTAATTTATACTGGAAATTTGTTAAATGATTATTAAATCATAGTGTAACGGAGATTTTGAGAGGTCTTTTTCGTCTAGCTAGCGACATGCTTGAGCCGCTTACGTAACGCGAAAAATAGAGAATTCAAAGATGTTTCGAAGGACAGGTGGATACGTAATCCTTTCCACGTGTAAAGGTCCGTTGGCATATGTAAATATGATGACTTCATGGCCAGCCAGTAGTATCGCTTGTTTTAGGTTTTGATTTTTGGGAAGGGATATCGCGGTTATCTGGTGCTGGAGGCGCGACTTCCGAAAACGATAATATTTTCTTCGTCTGGTCAGAAGGGAGGCAGAGGAGTTTTGCCACAGGAAACTTGTAGTATCGCCATCCAAACTGCCATTGCGCTAAACAGTGACGGTTCGAAGGCCAACAATCATTAATAAAGTCAATTAAAATGGAATGCTGAGTATTGTGTGGCTAACTTTGACGGTTGACACAGCCGCAGCTCATACCACCATTCCGCTTCTTTCCTCTTCCACCACGCATATTCTCTGAGGACACAAAACTCGTTGCAGCTGAGTTACGACCACCACGTTCTTATCAAACGATAGCACCTAACTCCACCCTCTGACAGTCGTGAGAGGTGAGCGGTTACAAGAGTCTTACATTATTTGAGAACAAATTTTTGAGGATCTTCAGATAGATGTAACACTATAAAACAGATTGTTCTCAATAGGGATCTTTATGATTTGTATTCTAAACAAAATATTAATAGAGTTATCAAATTAAGGATGATTTGATGGGTCAGATATGTAGCACAGACGGGACTAGATTAAAATGCATTCAGGTTTTCGCATGAAAATCTGAAGAGGACAGCCCACTTGGGAACGTAGATGTCTAGGTACGATAATGTTAATTAAATCGTGGGAACGTAGGTTGTGAGAATGTAGGCTGAATTTAACGGTTCAGGATAGGATCTATAGGCGGGCTCTTATAATATAATAAGGGACCAGATTTTTTGTTTCATTGGAAAGTTTTTAATCAGGAGACCACTGTCAATTACAAATCAAGACTTTGTCCATGTGATTAGTAAGAGTTATAGATCTAACCAAATCCATGAAGCATTGTCCGCCTTAAAATGCTAGTATGTTAGTAGACATTTATTAGATTTATGGACGTGGAAGGTCCATCACCTTGCTCTAAAAATCCCGTCATTAGTCCCTATCCTGGGTCAGATGAATACAGTCTACACTGTGAAACCCTATTTTACTAAAAACCTTTTCGATATTGTCCTCCCAATTACGTTTAGGCCCTTCGAATGAATTTTACATATAAAATTGAAAATTTGTGTGTGTGTGTGTGTGTGTGTACATGTTCGCTTTTATTTCGAGAATTGTTTGTTTCGGCGAGGAGAATACAGGAACTAATATCACAAAACCCCAAAAATTAACCTTAGTTCGACTCTCGCTAAAGATGTTGTGATTAATGATAATGTTATTCTCTGATATTCAACGATACGTATCTAATGATTATCAGGTCTGTTATAAGTTTTCCGGAAATATAGAATGATAATGAATGTAGGAATTTGTCAAACATTCCGTCAATAATACTGCGGGCGCTCTCTTAGGGAATGGTTAGGTTGGTCATGCCGAAATCTCATCTGAAATTTTACTCATCTACAGATCCCATCTAGTAATGATTGTACACAAACATTTAGCTACTGATGCGCTGTGCAAAGGTGCGAAAAAATTGCTCAAAATTAGTATGTACATTTAAAATTCGCTCCGCCGCGCATGCGCGTGACAGCAGAGCGCCATTCACCGGTACATGACAGCGGAGGGCGTGGGCCAGGCGCTGGTGAGAAGGCAGGGAAAGACTTGAGAAATGTCTCTCGCTCTCACACACATAAACGCGCGCGCGTAGTTTATTGAATAAGTAAGTACACAGGAACCATCTATATGTATATAATACGCAGGTGTTTTATATACTGCTTTGTGGAAACAATACACCGAAACAAAAGACTGTTCACTCATCCATGGCTACTATGTACATGTACTAATATACAGTAAAACCTCTCAAGTTGGACGCCCCTATATATTGGACACTTTTAATTGGAACCGGCGAATATCCTATAATTTTATATGTACACAATACCCTACATTTTGGACACCCCTTTTGTTGTAATTTGGACAGGTTCATGCACTTAAGCTTTAATACGTTTCAGGGAAACGTTTACAGTTACATACTTAGTTGTTTTGAATTATTGACTGATGAATGTCTTCTGTCTGGAGGATTAGCCTATGGTTTAGGGGGTAAGAGACATGAACCCATCGTTGAAATGCAATGAAGGTGTTTAGTTATTCTTTCTTTGAACCCTCCACTGAACTACGAAATTGCAGATACAGTTTTAACTCCACTAGCACTGCGCTTGCATTTGAGTTCAATCTTTGTTAACAGAAACGGGATTTTCTTTTTGTGACAGGGAAGGGAAAATTTATGGAATTAACTTTATAAAATTTCATTGAGTCTGGGGTGTAATGTGCAAAGAATGAGAATGGGTTTCAAAAAATTATTGTTGTTGCTATTTTTGACGGGTATTTCTTCAGTATATTTTATATTAGGAATCAAGCAGGCAGCTTGATCACCGACTGACAGGTACATCGCTATCAGGTGGTTGATCAGGTTGTTCAGTACCTTCGTATTCATTGTCTAAAATGTCCAGCGTGTCAGTGGTTTCGATGAAATAATCTGGACAGAAATCTTGATTGTCCAAAATCTGCACAAGAAGGTCACACATCTGCTGGTCTTCAA